CCCAGGAACGGTGTCACAAGCCTGTAATTCCAGCATTCAGGAGGTAGAGGCAGGAGGATCAGATGTTCAAGGTCACCTTATGCTACATAGCAAGTTCTAGGCCAGCACCTAGAATACTTAAGACATGTCTGGAAAGAAAGAAAAGGAGGGAAGGAAGGAGGGAGAGAGGGAGGGAGGGATGGAGGGAGGGAGGGAGAGAGGGAGGGAGAGAAGAAGGAAGAAAGAAGAAAAGAAAAGAAAAATAAAGGAAAAGTGATGTGTGGTGGTACTTACATGTAATCCTGGCACTTGGTAGGTAGAGGCAGGAGACAAGGCAAGAGATTCAGTAGCTCAAGGTCACACTCAGCTACAACAGAGAGTTTGAAGCCAGTCTGGGCTTCCAGAAACCCTGAGTCAAAACAAAACAAAATATAGGAATGCTGGCCGGGATATAGAGGTGGGAGTGAGGGATGGTGAGACTGTAAGTTAGTGCAAAATATCAATGTAGATGTCCCTCAACATACTAAAGAGTCCTGGTGATGCATGCCTACAATCCCAAGCCATGAACCAGCTTGGGCTCCATGGAGGCCCCATCTCAAAAACAAACAGGGTAGCCAGGCAGTGGTTGTGCATGCCTTTAATTCCAGCACTGGGCCAGCTTGGTCTACAGAGATAGTTCCAGGATAGCCAGGGATATACAGAGAAACCCTGCCTAGAAAAAAAACCAACCAACCAAACATAAAAAAACAAAAAACAAAAACCAGCAGAACAGGGGCTGGAGAGATGGCTCAGAGGTTAAGAGCACTGGTTGCTCTTCCGGAGATCCTGAGTTTAATTCCCAGCAACCACATGGTGGCTTAAAACCATCTGTAATGAGTCTGGTGCCCTCTTCTGGCATGCAGGCAGAACACTGTGTATATAACAAAAAATAAATCTTAAAAAAGAAAGAAAACATTATATATGTATAGTATATGTATTTATATGTGAAATATATATTCAGCGATTAAGAAGCTTGAAATAATGGCATTTGCAGGAAATTAATGGAACTAGAGATCACCATATTAAGGGAAGTAAGCTGCACTTAGAAAAAAAATTATCTCATGTTTATTCTCATACACAGAACCTGGACTTAAAAGCAAAAAGGGCCTGTAAGTAAGAATCGAGACTAAGTAGAGGAAGAAGCCTGGGATGAGGGGGAGAACAGGAGAGGGTGACAGGGTGCGAATATGATCAAATACATATGGGAATGTATGAAAATTCATAACGAGGGCTAGGGAGATGATGGCTCACTGGGAAAGCACTTATCTGTGCAAGCACAAGAGCCTGGGTCTGGATCACCAGCACCTATGAAAAAGCCAGGCACGGTCAAATGCAGTTGTGATCCCAGCGTTGCGGAGGCAGAGACAGGAGGGTCTCTGGTTTGTGGGACCACCAGTGTAGCTGAGTCAGGAGCTCTGAGCTCAAGAGAGACCCTGCCTCTCATATACAGGTATACATGTGCACCTACACACACACACACACACACACACACACACACACACACACGGACCGGGGGAGAGACAGAGACAGAGATACATCGATAGGAACAGACAGACAGAACATCATGGACCAGTGAATGTCCTAGGATGCACAGGGCCGATGTCACACTCCAACAATAATGAATTATCCAGTCCAGAATGCCTGAGAACAAATGTAAACAGGCCCCACCTCACACACCTTGAAGCTTGCCCAGGAGGCTGTGCCTGGGAAAGGGGAGAGGGGGCTGGCCTGGTCCAGTCTGCTGGGAGTGAAGGGATTTTCCAGCTCACCCTCCTGAACTGAAAGCCGTGCTGCCCACCCTTCCTGCCCAGGAACTTTCTCTTCTGAGTTACCACACCGCTGCTGGCTCTTCCCCTCCCTTGGCAGCTCCCTGCTTGGCACGGCACATGCAGCCGGCCTCGACGCCCTGGGAAAATTCCTAACCTTTGCTTTGGTTTCCTCCGACTCTTGGCAGCTCCTGGGAGGCCCTCAGCACATGTGCCCCAGGCTTGCCATGCTGAAGTACACCATTGTTCTTACTGCCCTCTGCCAGGCCTGCTCCTTCTTTTGTCCCCTCCTATGAGGAGCCCCGCTGGGCACCCCATCTCCCAGAAGGTGTACTCAGATGCCAGTCAAGAGTGAATGTAGGGTCTGTCCCCAACCCTGTCTGGCACAGACAGGAGGGGATGCTGAGCCTGAGTGGGAGCTGGGAAACCTGAAGCTCTCCGCCCCTTTCCTTCCTGGACTCTAGTGACCTTGAGTCAGGCCCTCCTCCCACTCCTGGAAATGTGCAGAAGCTGTGTCCCTGGAGACGAAGAGAGGGGTTGTGGGGAAGGCTGACAGAGCCTGTCGCAGGGAGGGGCTGGTGCTTTCTGCATAATGGATGTGCCTCGGCTGTTGTGTCTGCCTTTGCAAGAATGTGCCTTTGCTAGCCAAGGAGCCCATTTCTACAGGTCCTTCCTGGCTTGAGAGTGTCCTTCCCAGCTGCCTTGTTCTCTGAGGCCTGCATCCAGATGTTAGTGTGACTATCCCCGGGAAGTCATCCTCCTGGGGCTTTGTCCCTGGACTGGGAGTGGTGGAGTGGTGGTGTATCTTGGCAGGAAAGACCAATGCCCATTCAAGAGCTTGGACCTAGGACTCCTGAGTATAAGGCTAAGGCTCCTCAGCCCTGGCCTCTGGGGCTCCTCCTTATGCCCAGTACCCTGTGTCCAGAAGCTGGGACAGATACAAGGGCACAGTGTTGCTCCACTCTGCTGCTGTGTGACCTCTAGTGACATGGTAAAAAGCTCTGGGCCTTGAGCTACCAGCTACAAGAATCCCCAGTGTTTCCTCCCTTAGGAAGATCCTGTTACTGGGAGTAATTCTTTATATTCCCACCCTGCATGGGAGTAGATCAGAACAGGGAGCACCTGGCTCCAACCCTTATGAAATCTGAGACCCTGAATGGCATCCCCACCCCTCTGAGATGTCACAACGATATAGAAGATGGACCATCTCTCCCAGATTCAGCACGGCCAATACCACAAACCCAATCTCTCTGGAGTGGCTGATTTGTGTCTGAGGAGTCCACATTCTATATACACAACCAAACTGAGGAAAGTAAGAACATCTTTCCTGTGGCATCTAAACGCACTCCTTGCTAGTTCCCTGGCCCTGCCCCTGCAGGATCTCCGGGGGCTTAGGAAGCAGCCAACCATGTCTCTTCTGCCCTGGTACCTGGCAGTCTTGGGGCACAGGGTATGGAAGCTCCAATTTGTTCTGTTTCACTGTTCTTCCGAAGGCTCTTACTCCTGTGAGTCTAGGGCCTGTCTGGTCCCAGGTCTCTGGAAATTGGAGGGCCAATTAGAGAGCAGGAGGCCCGGCTCTTGCAGCAGAGATTTAGTGACTGATGCCAATGCCCAACCCCCAATGATGACATACTGGAACACAGTGCCTGGGTCCTCACCCCCTCCCCGTCCCCACTGTTCAAGGACCTGAGCGGCACTTCTGTCTCCTGTCACAGGAACATGGGAAGCAATCAGCCTAGGAAGTGGCAGTGTTTCCTTCCTTTCCCACCAGGCTCTCTGGATACTTCAATAGCTTGGGCTCGGACTGTGGAGTCCAAGCTTCTGGGGATGTGGAAAGGAAGCCCCAGTAGTCAGGAGTCCTAGCTGGGGTGACCTGGGCATCCCTGGATCCTGTGCAGCATGCACAAACCCTTTAGTTACTAAAGTCTGCTGCAACACCATCCAGTGAAAGATGGAGTTTCTTCTGCTCTCGGGAGCTAAGGAGGTGGGAGAGCAAGGACCAAAGCTCCTCCTTTCTGACCCCTCAAGTTCCTCCATCCTTCCCTACACAGTGGGAGGAGGAACTTGCTGACTGAGACCTGTCGCTGATGCTGGCTTTGGGGAAGAGAGACTTGGTCCCCAGGCCTGAAGTCAGAGGTGGGTGGCAATATTGTCCCCACCAACAGTCACCTATGCTTGTGAGCCTGGAGTAGAACTGGGGGTGGACAGGGCACCTCTTCTCCCTACCCCACCAGACCCACCCCCTTTCTCACTAAGCAGGGTGTTCCCGATCACCCTGTGGCATCTCCCTGGCTAAGCCTGCTTTCTAGAAAGCACCCAGCAGATATTCTCCTGGAAGTGTCAGAAACACATGGAAACCTGGCCCAGGCAGATCTATGTGTGAAGCCCATCACAGCCCCTTTCATATGTAGTGGGGAGGCTGTGATGGGCGTGAGCTGGCTGCTCAGCCTTATAGATGGAGGGATTCCACTCAGAGAACTGGGTACAAAACCAAAGGTCAGCTCTCCTTGGATGTTACCTAGGGCAAGTCACTCAGCCACTATGAGAAAGGTTGTTGGGGAAAATAATAGAGATAATATTTGGAAAGCTGAGCCCCAGAGGCTGGCCAGCAAGTGGCACCTGCATTCTACCTTGGACATGTTCAGTCATGAGACTCCAAACCCTGAGGGATAGACCCAGAGTCTAGGTACCGCTAAGCATAAAGAAGATGTTGAAAAACCACATCTGGGGTCAGCTATATCCTGCCCATTCAAGAGGCCTTGTGGAGTAGCTCTAGGACTCCCTGCTGTCATGAGTTCTGGGGATCCTGGAACCCTCACTCACTGTTCAGTCTTGGCCTGGTACCTAGGGCACTTAGATCCAAAGGCCTCCTCTGGGAGCAGCTGACCCCTAGGGCTCAGGCTGGGCTGGTCTTTCAGGGCTGAGTTCCTTCAAAGAGCAGGAGCTGCAGTCTCAGCAACTGGAAGCATCTAGAACCAGTCCCTCTGAGCCCCATGCTGGTAACTGATAGCGGGGAGCTGCTTCCCCTTTTGAAGCCCTAGTTGAAGCCCCTGCTAAGGGTCAAACAGGGACTACCCTGGCATCCTCAGCCTGGGCCCTGAAGTGCCAGATCCAGGAAACTGGCACCCATTAGCTACATATCAGCCCATTCCACAAATATGTATCTGAGGCTCAGCTATCATCCCATGACCTCTGGCATGGCTGGGATCTCCTTACCGTCCGATGGGGTCTCCGCTAGTATCCTCAGCCTCTATTTTCCAACCTGTGGGTACCCTGGGCCTTTTGGGATCAGGGAACCTGGTACCAGGGTCCTGTGCCCAGGCCCCCAGAAGTCCCCAACCAAGGCACCCCCCGAGGCCCAGCATCAATGTCAGAATCATGGCGAAGGGCAGGCTTAGCTGGTCCCGCTGAGGCTCAACCTTTGCAAGTGACTCCAAAATTTGCTGGCGATGTGGTCTTCAAGCAAAAAAATCTCAGAAAGAAAAGAAAACATGGGGACAACAAAGGGAGGAAGTGGCCTGGTCCGGCCCACCCGGTAAGCCTCATCCGCCCCCCGCCTCTTCCAGCCTGGCCCCCTCTGAGGTCATCAACCACCAGGCCAATTCCTGTGTCCTAAGGACACTTGAATCAGGACATTGGGGGTGTGGGAGACACATGAGGGTGGCCTTATCAAACCATTTCTGCAGGACACTGTTCTGGGTCTGGAGATAGAACGGTAGAGAGTGTCAGCCACCGGAGATCTAGTGCCACCCACACTGCTGGCCAGGAAGTGGGGAACAGGCATATCATGCCTTCTCAGCACCTTTTGGTGCTGGGCTATGGGAACCAGCAGGTGGGTGGCTCAGAGAAAGAAAGGAACTATGCTTGAATCACACAGCATACAACCCTGTCCAGGGCATCAGGGAAGCTTTGTGTGTTTCTGGTCTCAGATTTCTGACAGGTTTAAATGGAGTCCCAGGTTTAGGAGCATCCGGGATGATGTGGGTAGCTGGACAACCGGGGCATCCTGCAGGTTGGTCACTCTCTGGCCAGGCTGTGACCCCTGCCAACCTGGGAAACTGAGGCATCAGCACCCCTGCCAACCTGGGACTTTGAGGCATCCGCCGAGGCACTTGTCCTCTGGGCACAAGACCACCATGGTTTTCCAAGGATGAATGAGGGACGACAGATTAGGATTTGTCTAACCTTCTTCAAGCCCCCTTCCCCTGGGATGACAGGAGGCAGCAGGGAAGAACTGAGCCAGTAGGGCCCGGGCCCTGCTCTCTGGTGTCCCCTGGGACATGCTTTTCTCCAGCCCTCCCTCCCTGCCTCCACCCTGCCCTGGGCTGGCTGAGCTCCAGCCAGCAGCCACAGCATCAATATTTCATCCACATCAATAAGAGGCAGCGGCGGCGGCGGCAGTGGCAGGGGCAGCGGCTGCAGCAGCACTTGCCGGCTCCAGTCAGTAGCTCGCAGCAGTCAGGTCCCATCCTTGTAACCACCATGGATGTCTTCAAGAAAGGTTTTTCCATTGCCAAGGAAGGTGTGGTGGGTGCCGTGGAAAAGACCAAGCAGGGAGTGACAGAGGCAGCCGAGAAGACCAAGGAGGGGGTCATGTATGTGGGTGAGTGTGGCAGGTGGGGCGGGGCAGGGCGGGGCAGCGGGATCCCTAATGGAGAAGGCCAGATCCCACTACCTTCCCTCTGCTGAGTCCCCATAGATTCTGGGGAGCATTTTGAGAGATGAAATCTGATTGTTGAGGCAGGGTCCACACACCCTGGAGGATATGCCAGTATCTAGTTATCTTTGGAACTTTGGGGCCAGGGACTCTGAGGTCTCTAGGACAGGATCAGAGTGCCACTCAGACCACCTGAGTATTTACATGCCAAAGCATCACATGCATGCCTGGGGCTTCCTAAGCCTGGGGACCTGGAGGCAATGATCTGCTCATATGGGCCCCACTTTCTCCAATGGGAGCAGCTGCAGCCAAGCCAGGCCACATGACCCCTGTTAGTCTAGAGGCAAGGGGTAGGCTATGGAGATGGGCCCAGTTGAGTGCTGAACCCACCCCAGCTCGCTGGTCTCCCTCCAAAGAGGGGGCAGGGGTGGCCAAGCCTGTGACTCAGCTTTCTCTGCCCTGTTCAGCTGCTGTTTCTGAGGCATAGGCCACACCCATGCAAGGTCCATAGACCCACCAGTGACCCTACCTTAGGCCTGGTCTCTTTTGTCCCCTCTTCCTGTCCTGTCTCCTTCCCGTCTGTTCTCTGTCCTTCAGATATAGCAGGAAATGTCCCTCT